TGCGTGCTCGGAGTTGATGCACGACGCCGTGGCGGCGCACCACCGCCTGATCCGCGCGCTGATTGCGAAGTACCGCTGCTACGAGGTGAAGACGGTCGGCGACTCGTTCGTGATTGCGTGCAAGAGCGTGTTCGCGGCGGTGCAGCTGGTGCGGGAGCTGCAGCAGGTGCTCTGTGCCTGCTGCATCGCACAACACAGAAATATGCATAGATACGTACGTATACATGTTGTTTTGTCACCCACACTACCCCCTCCTGACACCACTGCTTCTATAGCTGTGGTGAAAAATCACCTTTTGCGCCTCTGGTTCTCTCCGTCATAAACTGCGTGCGCGAACGGGGGACTGGTGAATGAGTTGGCAGACTCATAAAAATACATATACACGCATAAATACATACATATAGATATACAGAAAGATGTAGACAGGTAGATCCACACACGCACACAGACGGACGTGCGTGTTCGCATCTCCGAAGCGTGCTGCGCGCGGGCGCGCAAGTTTCCTGCACCCCGTATCCCACTACTATTGTTCCCAGCGCGCACACACACACACACACACACTCACCACAAGAGAGGGACAAAAAAAAAAAGTTAGCCAAAAGAAAACAGTAAAGAAATTCCCTCACAAAAGACACTTACAAAAACACGGACGAGTACCCTCAAAAGATTACACCAATAAAACAAAAGAACGTAAAATCAAACACGAAAAAAGTGACTATCAGTGAACACAGAAGCACAAACTTAATAATGGCTATGTGAATACGACGACAACAAACATGACACCAAGGGGAGAGATGGTGGCAATGGGTGCTATGCGACCGTAAATTGTATGAAAATGTAATCCATGGACACGGGCACCCGTGGCACTGCAGCGCGTGAGACGCGCAAGAACAACAACAAAAAAAAAGAATGGAGGCGAGAGCCCCACACAAAATCATGCAAGAGGCCAGAAGGAAAAAGAAAAAAACGGTCCAAACCAAAACAGAACGCACTTGTCTCGCACAGTGCCAAGGCGGGAACAAATGGGAACAAACGCGGCGAAGCAAACATGGCACACTGTACATGGACGAACACGCGCAACAAAAGCCTACCTCAGGGGTTGCGTTCTCCTTCCGAACGTCACTCCCCTTTCTTACAGACCCAAGAAGAGACACGCAAGAAAACCACACACAAATTCCGAGAAGGATCCCCAACCCTTCGCACCCCCGCTACTATTGTCCAACGTCCTTTCACTCCTTCTTCGAGGGCTGCCGACAGGGTTTCTCTTCACCCAGAAAACACATAACAGTTCCCTACTCTGGTTGCCCCCTTCCCGCCCCCAAAGAAAAAAAAAAAGCAAAATAAAAATCACTAATCACGACAACGTTGAGAATGAGTGGTCTACGTCGTAGCGAACCTCCCGGTTCATCTTTTTTTTTGTTTGTGTGTGAGCGTATTTGTTTTCGTTACACTCTTGTCGCACTCCCCCGTCAGATTTCCGCTTGCTTTCCGGCATTGTATTTTCCTTCCTTTTCCTTCTTCTACCTTAGTTCATTGTTTTGTATATGTGAGTGAGTGCAACGCCTACTTTCGACGTTGCTCTTTTTTTGTGTGTTTTATTGTTGTTGCAGGCTCCCCCCGCATCAAGGCTCGCCTGCCCGCTCCATGGCAGTTCCTTCCGGTGGCACTTGTTTTGTTTGTCCTTCGATGACGCTTCTGAATTCCATGAGAGCTTGCAGCTGCAGCGGCTTGTGGCCTCCGCGCATCAGCGCGCGGAGAACGTCGAGGAGCTCATGTGCCGTTGGCGTCAGCGATGCGCAGGCGATGGATGAAAGAAACGCGTCCATGGCGCTGGCATGGCCGCCTGCAATGTAGGAGTCCTCTAGCGCCGCCATGAGCCAGGAAAGCTCCGTCGCAGTAAAACACCCCATATTGGCCAGAGTGAGTAGGCTGAAATAAACCGTTTCGTACTCGCTTCCACCTGAGGCCGAGGCAGACTTCATCGCCAAAGCATGAAACTCCTTCGAGCGCTCGTTCAATTCGCCTTCGGGATGCAATACATCCTGTGAGTTTTTCTCCTCCACTGCGGCATTGGCTGAGTCCAGGAGTGAAGCCAACACCGTGGGACACCTTACGTGCAGGTAATCATCAAGTGCGGTGGGCTCTGCAAGTAGAAATTTTACGGAACTGTCGCGGTGTTTTGCGCGGTCTGTATGCGCCAAATGCTGTAGCACAAAATTCACCACCTCGCCCAACGTAACACTCCACAACGTCGCAGTTTTGTTGTTGTACGAGATAAGCTGTTGAATTGCAGCAATGGCGGCAGGGGAGTCCCGAAGCATGGGCAAAAAGTCATCCTGGTTTGTGGCGAGAAAAGCGTGGCGGAGCTCTTCCACGGACTGCAACGGAGAGCCAGCAAGGAATGCCACAACAAGTGACGGAAAATATGTACAGAAGAGCCACTGTACTTTGAGTCTTAAAAAATTCGTCTCGCTACTTGCGGTTTCCACCGCACGTTGCGCAGACTTTATGTGAACAGTGGAGATTAACATCAGGACGAGTCCAACACTGAGAAAGGGCTCGGCCACCTCCGATTTTAGAAGACGCTCACGCAGCTTGGCTAGGAATTGAACACATGCGGAGTAGCTGAGGCCAGAGGATGCGTCAAGAAACCGAAGGAATTGTAACCGTGTAAAGAGGAAAAATATATCAAGGGCGTAGTTCACAGCCTTCAATACATCCTCATGTGAAACTGCGCTGGCGCGTTTGGCACGAAGAGCCAGTTGCTTGCGAATAGAATAAGGAACCAGAGGCCGAAGCTTGGAAAGGTACGCTTCCCGAAGAAATTCACGTTGTCGTTGCAATTCCGCAACGTCACTTGTAAAACCTGCCACGTTGGGAACGCTACCCGGTGCTGTGGACGCCGCCTCTGCAGAGGCGGCGGGTGGCGACTGATTGGCGGGTAGGGGCGTTCCAAGCTCCAGCTCTTGTACAACATCGTGCGCCATGCGAAAGTAGGCAGTTGAGTAAGAAAACCAGAAGGCTCTGTGTTCTCCAGCGACAGAAGCTGAGGAGATGCTCAGTTCATTGGCTTCATGCGCGCCAAAGTAGCCAAGACGCAGTAAACGTTCAAATTCCATGTGCTTACATCGAGTGGATTCAGAGTGTTCGTAAAACGCTGCACGACATTCCACTAAGGAGCGTGTAACTGGTATGAAGTGGCACGCCTCCACATTGCCGTCGGAAGAAAAAAAAGACACTGTATCAATGGGGTTTGCGGTATTGTGTTGAGGCGGGGAAGCCGTAGCGGGTACAAAACTACCCTTCAAAGAGGAAGAGCGACTGTCCCTCTCCTTGAATGAGCCCAGCGCGTTGAGTCCTCCACCCGTCGGGTGAAACTCCCCGGCGTTGGGGTTCAAAGCCCTCTTCATACAGCCTCTTCACTCACGGTTGCATGTGTGTGCGTGTGTGCGTGTGGAGGCGTTACAAAGAATCACCGCAACAACAAACAAAGGTGACACTCAAAGCGAGTACTGTAGCTGATCGAGGACGCAGTGAAGGGACACGGTTGTATTGACTCCACCCTATTTTGGTGACGCACCATCTCACATCACATGTGTGCGACAGTAGAAAGGAACGGGAGTACACGATACGCAAAAACATGCGACACCAAAACAAACAGAATAACAAAATAATAATAATAATAATAACAAACCAATAATAAGTACAAGAGAACGCCTTTAACGCCAGATACATTCATTTTTCAATGTTCTTTTTTAGTCGATGCAGAAGCGCCGCTGTGTCGTTCTTGTCTTTCAGCGACCTTTTGGTGCGCTCCTGCTGTACAAGGAGTCGTGTTGAGATTTGATTCTGCGCAGCGGCCGCGGCCTCCTGCTCCAGGCGAAGCGCTTCCTTTTGCTCCTGCAAAGAAGCCCGAATAACTGCCGTTTTCTTCACGAGCATGTCGTACTCCATGGTACGAAGCATCTTCTTTTCGAGTGTGTTAATATCTGCCATGAAGCCACTGAGGTCACACGACAAATCCTCCATCGTCGCCTCCTCCTCTCTCAGCTCTTGGGACAAGCCCCGCAACAGACTGCGGAGTGCTACGTTCTCATCCCGTGCATGCCGAAGTTCAGAGCCGTCGCTCTGAGGGCCATGGGTGGGCGCCGATATCTGTTCGCCGCCACCACCACCACCACCACCACGTCTCCATCTGCCGCTTATTTTCTCTTTCTCGTTGGTCTTCCTTGCCAACTCGTCGTTCCTCTGCTCGAACTCCTTCTGAAGCACATCCTCCTCCATCTGAAAGGCGGCCACAGCCAACGCCCGCGCCGCCGCGTGCGCGGACTCCTCCAATCTTCCCCCTCGCTGTGCCTCCAACACGCATACGCTCGCCTTGAGACGCTCGTCGTACTCCCTCTGCAGCGCAGCCAGTTCCGCCTCCTGCCCACGCTGCCCTCCGCCCGGCCCACTGCATGCCCTTTCCGCCTGCGCTCTTCCTCACGCATGCGAACTACAAGCTCGCTTCCCTCACGAAGAAGGGCCTGGCGCCGTGCCCGCACGAACGCCAACTCCTGCCGCACCTCTCTTCGGTGCTCCTCTGCCTCCTTCTTCAATGCCGCACGATGGCCATCCCCTCCCGACACCGCCTCCAACCTCAGCTCATGCGCCAACGTCTCTCGCTGCAGGTTTACTGTCGAATTCGGAATCTCCTCCAACTCCGCTTCCTGAATTTTCCCAGCCGACACCGAAGAACTCGATAACATTTTTTCCGCAAGACTACTAACCTCCTCCTGCGACAAATGCAAAGAAACCAAACTATTCCTTGCAGGTGCCTCAGCGACACTGTCTGCGTACGCGCGCGCGGTCGCAAAAAGCTCCTCCACTGACATGAGAAACTTACACATGCTCGTTCCCCCAGGCGCACCAAAATGGTGAAGAATCAGAGAATTCAACGCCCGATGTAATCGCAGTGATTCACCCACAACGGGAATATGAAATAGCTTGACATATAAAACGCAAGCACTTCCAGCCTTTTCTTGTGATTTTTGACTAAGCAAAAGGAGCCACGTCGGATCGTTCACGACGGTAAAGAACCTCAGCAAAGACCCCAAGGCAGGATCACGTGCGTCATCCGCGAGAAAAGGAATCAAGGTGATGTTCCCCAAGGGAGGTTCCGTGTTTATTGCCTCATGCAGCTTGGCCTCACGTGGGTCGGTGGCGTCGCAGCGGACTGCAGATTCACTGCGCTCAGGACTTACCGTCGCGGAAGCGCTCAACACGCCCCTGTAGCCCAGAAGAATGAAAGCGGGTCGCACCATAAAGTTCGCATCGCAAGATGACGCATTCGCAAAGGGATGAGACCAAAATTTAAATACGCCAAACCAACTTCTTCATCAAGCGCCTCGGTCATTGAATCTCCGCCTTTTTTTTTTTTTTGGCCCACCGCGCCGAATAGAAGCAGCGGCACGGAGGCTGTGAAGCCCACGATCAGGCTCGCCGTGAAGCAGAAACAAAGCGAAAAAAAAAAAAACAGGCGAGCGAGGACAAAAAGTGTCAACGCAGTACAACTAAAACGCAACCTCAACAAGCAGAATGGCTCTCTCCATCTCTCTCGCTCCTTCACAGACACACATACATACACGCAGTAGCAATATCTCTTCACAGCACCGAGCACCAAAGAGACGGCACGGCAGGAATCAATCCAGCCTAACAACAACAACAACATCAAGAAAGGAGTAAATGTGAGTGGTCGTATTTCAGCCACAACGCATACACAATACAACCAGACGAAAAAAAAAAGTCAAGGAGCAACTACGTACAACGTTTTTTTTCCCATTCGAACCTCATGGAGGATACTTTCGTGAGCCCAGGAACCGCCTCACGAGATACGGGCAAGGAAAGAGAAAACAGAGCCTCATACTTGCTTCTACACACTATTCTTCTTCCTGAAGACGTTCAACGAGAAAAACCGTGCTGTTTGCTCGACTTCCCTCCACCTTCTCAAGATAAAAGTATTGTGGATACCCAAGCACGGCATTGTAGATGTTGCCAAAGTGTGTTTTTAACGTCCTTTTGGCGGCGCTGGGAAGCATACGGTTCAGATACCCTATCAGCACACCTTCATCTGGGATCACCTCACGCAACGCTTCAATAGCGTCCTCCACCGGGATGGTTTCCTCACCCGCCCGTGCCGACTCTGGCACGGCCAATTGACTCTTTTGCAGCATCATGCGGCTACCATCCATCCACACCGTCAGATGCCTACTGGTCCTAAAGTTGTTTTTGTGTCGCACAGAAAGCGCCGCCTTCAAAATTGGCGGTAAACGCGTCAGCAACTGAATGTGTGAAACGGGGTGGTCAGGCATGAAAAACGAAACCTCCTCACATAGTATCTCGTGGTGCAGCAACGGGTTCAAAGGGTCGAGAAGCAGCAACTGCCGACGATCCGTTGGAATTTGACTGGCGCCAAGAATACGTTCAAACCTAGTTCGCTCCGAATCCGCTATCAGCGACACCTTAGACTTTTCATCATCATCAAATGTTTGTGGAAGCAGCACACGATCCTCACTGTGGAAAACCATCTGTGTTGGGACAAATGGTGGAATCTGCCCCTCCGGATCATGGGCAATAACGTGCAACAAGTCCGTACTTAGCTCAAAGATCTCACCATGGAGCCGCATAAAGTGTACGAGCCCTTTCAAAGGCCGTAGGAGACGCTTTTGCTCTCTATTGAGAGAGGCATAAATACGCTGAATCGGCACCCATCGCCACGGACCGGAACTACTTCCGCTGGAAAAGAGATTTCCTGCAGGCGACTTCTCCTCCAACTGCAGGTTCAGCCGCTTTGTTCCCTGCAGGGATGGAGGTGGATTTAGAAACGAAGCAATGTGTCGCAGCAACTCCGGTTCCGGAGAGTTGGTAGCATTGTAGTCACTCAGACTTCGTGGCGCTATTCGTTTTGGAAGACGTCGCACGTAAAGGATGTCATACCGAGAAGGAATATAAGGACCGTCATTTTCATCATCGGCTGCCGAAACGATCGGGCTCGGGGCATCCTTCTTCGCAGCATCTCTCCCACGCTCCTTCAACGTTGTCCGCTCTTCATCCTTATCATAACATGCCCCCTCCTCAACGTCATGCTCTGTAAATAAATCACCCTCCTGCTCACCCTCCGCGGCATTCATCTCATCCTCTCCAGCGGCATTCAAAGTGTCACCCGGCTCCGTATCCGCTCCCTCTGGTGGTGGGGCCGGCATGGACTCCGCGCTGCCGCTGAGGATGTCGTCCATGCCAAGCAAATCATCCCTTAGCGCCGCAGTTATATTTGCGTCCCGTCGTTGCCTTTCGGCGTCCGATGCGTGAGAAGTGTTTGCCGCCATGTTATCTGTCTTTTCCTGCTCCACCGCCAAGGTATTTGCGTGAGAAGGATCATGTAAGTCGCAAACAGACTCTGAATTTGAAGGCGATACAACATTACCCTTCGTATCGACACCCTGGTGAGTGCGTCGTGTGAGGCTTGAGTTCGTTACCGACGCCAGATCCCGGTGCTCTGCAAATAGGTTTGCATCCTCGCCTCGGCAAAGCAATTGAAAGATATGTGAATAACGCGTTAGTAATGTCAACACACGCTGCTGTGGGACGCTATTCAATACTTCTAAGTCCTCCTGAGAGAAGCCGTCGATCCACCCCACTAAGGGAAATGGCGCACAACGTTTCTCTTCAAGCTCCAGCCTTGAGAGTGACGCGTCCGTCGGAAACCGAGGCAAATTTCTCACAAGGATCTCGAAAATTTTGACGTCAACATGCGACTCCAGACGACGACCCTGCGAGTCTGTTTCCCCTGAAGACGAGGTCAGCGGTCGAGCGACAACCCCGCCCACCGTTGCCCGGTACTCCTGGTTGTGGCGACGCAACGGACGATCTGCCATACCACAGCCCGGGTAATTCCGAATAAAGCTGAAGTCCAAGTTTAGTTTTACCGCCGCCTTCTGAACCCTGCCCAGCTTGAGCTTAAAGATCATGGGATACTTTTTAAAAAAACCGTCCACCACACGATCTTTCGGGAAGCGACGCTCAAGACGCTGAGCCACGTCTGGAGACATCGCCGCAAGAACATGGCGCGTCTCCACAAAAAAAGTAGGTGTGATGTGCACAAACGCGGCAGCCACCTCAGAGGGCGGGAACTGGCCCTTCGAGACATAAAGGTCTTCGATCTCTGCCAGATCGGGTGACAAGCATCGCGGTTTCTCTCCATGTGGAAAAAACGTTACCGGCTCCCCATCCAAAAGGAAATGCAAGGTAAGAGGGAGAATAAGGCGAGTAAGTTTCCACTTCTCGAGCTCGTCCGATGTGAGCGGTGGCTTTGAGACATCTACCGGAGTTGAAACAAAGCATCCGCGAACCACCACCGTATGTTTTGTGGGCAACTTCTTTCGCTCCTTGAAGGAACAAGTTTCTGCGTCACCCCCAACAACGACGGTCTTCGAGCGGCCAGCTTCATGGCGTTGTCTTCCACCCACGCCGTTTTCGTTGAGTTCATCCGTACCCTGGATTTCCGCGCGGTAGGATCGTGCCTCCTCCGTGAGTCCCACCTTGGAGCCATCGGAGCTAAGGGCAAACCAGCTTGGCCTGCTCTTCAGCGCATTGGCAAGCGCCCCAAATGAGGAGTTCTGCAACCGCAACCGCAGCATTGGGCCCAGTGCGCGAAAGAGTGTGTGAAGCGGCAAGGAATTGTCGTTCCCCGCCTGCGGAGTCCCTTCCCCTGGTAAAAGCTCCGAGCACAAGACACATCTGATGTCTTCCAGAATACTGTTGTCGTCCCAGTCAGTGTCCTCACCCACGAGCCGCTTGGTTGCCAAATTTGTTGCTGCCCCTGCATCCTTTGATGATTCGAGCTGATTCACTTCATTCCTTGTGGCGCATCCACGCATTGCAACTTGCCATGCTGGACGGGAAAACTGGTTTAACACCACCGACGCCACGCCGATCCCGCGTCGAAGAAAGAAAGGAGCACAGTGTCGAGGAAGGGCGCCCAGCACCCGGCCACTCTGCATTTACTCTATTTCCCACACCCAGTCCCACACAGTCGCCTTCGCTCCCTCCCCGGCCTACGCTCCTCCCCTGTCTCCCCCTGTGTGTGGAAAGAGGGGAATTAAAAGGTGACCAATGACCCTAAGTGTGATAACGATGGAAGTAAAAGGAGACGCCAGTAAAAGACCTGATCGTCACAAGACTCCCCCTCGCAACCCTCACGCACGAGCCCAAACTTCTTTTCGGAAGCTACCTCAAGAATGAAGAAAATAAAGTAAATATATATATATATATATTTTGCCTCCCACTCTTTGCCCCTTTCCTCCGTTCACTGCAGGCGTGCCTGCACCCCCACGTCAAATTACCCGAAAAAAAAAACTCAATCAACCGCAAATAAAAACCGAAGGGAAAAAACTTTTAAAAAATATTTAAAGAAAAAAACACACGCACACACAAACACAAGAAAGAGCATAAGTGAAGGATTAAAACTTCTGCAACCAGCTCCTCCAACGGCCCCCATGCATGTGAAGAGAAGGATAAAGGCCCCATCTGCAATGTCAGAGTACACTACAAAGAGGGGCAGGTGACTAGTCAGACTCACTCTGTCTTTTAACCCACCAATCCCGGAGCAAGACAGAAATAAGGTGATTGTCGGGAAGAGGTTGCGCCGTCGTCGGTGCCTCGTCAGCATCAGCAGCAGTTACAGGTTGTGGAGATGCGTCATCAAGTGACACAGGGCAGTCAAAAACGCCACCAACATAACTGTGAAGCAACGCAATAAGAATACGCTCAAACAGGCCACGGCATTCGTCAATAAAAACACAGGAGGCAGCTGCATTGTCGCCACAGTGTGTTGGCTCCAGTACACGCCAAGCTCCTCCTTTACCGTTGTTATCCAAATGTGACGAAATACTTGCGTCGTCGATCTCGTACACGACGCCATGAGGGTGAATGGGAACAAGCGCCATCCGTGTTGGGTCAAACTGTCCCCGTGGAGGCGGGCTAAAAAAGCTCAGAAAGGAAAACAAAAGATGCCCTGACTCAACTTCCTCGCGTCGATGAGGATAATACGTGAAACTGGGCAATGGAGATGCGTAGGAGCAAAACCTGGCGAAGGCAAGCACCATTAAGGTTAGGACGTACGGAGTGAGCTGTGAATATTGGACATTGAATTGCTTCAAGACCAACTTCATAAAAATAATCACAGGGTACACCGATTTACTGGCTTTCAGTAATCTTGGAAGCACTGCAGCTGCCTCTAACGCCGCTGTTTGGTTAACTGTCACATTCAGGTCGATTTTATTTGTTACGGAACGCAAAGAAAGTGTACATGGAGTCTTGATACAAGCTGCGGCATCCTTCCTCTCTTGCAGTTCCAGTCGATCCAGAACGGCATCCTTGACGCGAACCAGTACGTCGTGCTCCCCCATCAATGGCAGCACCAAAGGAAAACAAGCGGGGTACGGCAAGAGAATATAGGCCTCCGTATTCGCTATCCGAGCTCGTATCAGTCCGTCAATCCGCGTTGAGTTGAGTGCACTTTCATCGTCAAGTTTTCTGCGCAAAAAGAAGGCCGGGGGCGGATCCACGCGTTGTATGAGCGTAATGTCAACAGCCGAGTCGTACAGAGCCGTGTCAATAGTAAGGCTGCCACACCTAAAGACGTGCAGGCCACAACGCTCACCACTGGCCGCCGCACGGTCCTCAGGGACAGCCGCAACTTCTGTGATAACACTTTTCACTTCCTCAAAGAGTTTGTCGCACGCCCCACGACGAGCAGGCGGCATCTTCGCCTTCAGTGCAAGCTCGTGAAGGTCGTGTGTGAGTCGTACGTTTGCCGCCAGCAGCAGGAGATGTCGGTCGTCTACAACATTGCCATGACCGCTTGCACGCAAAAAGTGAAATATGCAGCTCATTTCCTCAAGGTCCCTTCGCATTTCCGTGAAGTGGCCTGCTCCCCTCGGGCAAGCAGCAACGGCCCCAAGAATAAGTTCCGAGCGGAAGGGAGAGAGACCGACAATGTCCAGAGGGATGCAGAAGAGTCATGACATCCGGCACACAGACAGAATAAATACATTATGTAGCAAAGAACCTGCATGACTTTTGCTGTTTTCTCCACAGAAAACGGGGAAAATAAAAGTACACACACATCAGAAAGAAGTGCAGATAAGAAAGTATGAAAGTATGAAAGTATGAAAGTGGACAATGTTCTCGTCCTGCCACCACACTGCATCCCATTTCCTTTTTTTTTCATGTCACTCCTTTTTATTTGTTCTTATTTAATGTCGCTTGGACGTTTTGCTTTTGCTTGGGTGCCCCCCAAGGGTGTACTTTACGTGGCGATGCACGCCCTGTGCGTCTGCCCCCTCCCTTCGATCCCCCTCGGCGCTTTCTCCGCGGCGGCAGTGCACACTCCAGAGCCTTAAATAAGTGCCGCGCAATAGCGTCACGCGGGAACATCGTCGTCGTCGTCATCACCATCATCAGAGGCTGTCCTATATATAATTAAGCATATAAACAGATATATACGGACTGGCCGGCACCCCAGAGTGGAGGTCACACCATTCCCCAATTACAATAAACACAATAAACCGACAGAAATAAATAAGTAACAGTACAATTAACTCAACAAAGGCAATTAACAAATTAAACAATACAACGGGAGAGAGACACGCACACACACACAAAAGGCTATATATGCATATCCCTGTAGAGCATTACCCCATTACTCCTTTTTTTTTTGCCTTTGCTGCTGTTGCCGTTGGGTAAAGGATGATATAGTGTGTGTGTGTGCTCTGCAGGCAGCACGCGTTTATTCCAGGCCATCAACTTTCGAGGACAGGTCTGCGTCCCGAAAAGTGCAGAAAGTTAGTTTCTCTCCAATTTGAAGCCCGACGTAGAAAAACCATGACGTAAACCGCAGCCACCAGGAACGACGCCGATACTCGTCATATTTCAACTCTACGCTTACCTGCACGTCCTTGAGGAAGTGGCCCTCCATATCCCGCGCCATCGCGTAGCTCAGATGACAGAGACAGACTTCCATGTTCTTGTTGCTCATCATATCCCAGTTGTAACTCCCCACAGAGGACCAAATGCTGTCAACCACCACCGTTTTGGCGTGCATGACCTGATCCCCCTTGTATTCATAGACACGGACACCAGCAGCTAAGAGGCGTTCGGTAATGTAGTTCGATGCGTACCACATAAACCAAGGATCGGTGGTACGACTACTCCCGGCAAGAATGCGCACGTCAACGCCGCGACGAGCAGCGTAGAGGATGGCACGTAACAGCTTTCGATGAGGCATATAATACGGTGTTGTCACCCATAGCCGTCTGTGTGCTTTTTGAGAAACCTGCCAAAAGGCATACGGAATCGACCAATCCCGTGTATGCGGGTTGCAAGATATAATTTGAGTCGAGTTGGGACGTTGCGTGTCATACGCCGCTGCTCCAGGGACAGGATCCGTGTCATTTAGAGGTGTCACGGGCAAGGACTTTCTATGTAAACCTCGTTCCAAGGCCGCCTTGGCTCTATTAAGCGCACGCGTACGATACTGTTCCATTCTTTGTTTCATCGCCGCTGATGCACCTTTGCTTCCTGCACCCTCCCCAGAACGTTTTTGCGCATCCTCGGGATGAACAGAAGATAAACTTTGTGGCGCCAGCTTCGCAGCATCTTTTGCATACCACCGCATGTATGACTCTAGGCGTTCGCGCTGCCGCTTCCATCGAATGCGCTCCATAAAGCGTGCTCGCTTTTCCTCGGCCTTTACGAGTTGATGTTGCAGGTACACTTTCCCTTTTTGTCGTACAGAGTTTGTCATGGGCACAAGGATGTCATCCGCGACATTCTTTCCCTCCTTGTAGCGACGGTCCATTGTCATGGATGCGATCTTGCGCCAACGGGTCCAACTCCATTTCCACGGCTTTGGCGCCTTTGTGTCTTCGTACACCTCGCGGAGGTGGGCCACAGCCGGGCCCACCACGGAGCAGTGGGTGTCGCGAAACCGACCCGTTCCCCCCTGGCTCCTGCCACAGTACTCATTACCAATATTCAGCCCACCACAAAATCCGATACTCTCATCCGCAATGAGAATCTTTCGGTGGTTGCGGAGGGCGGGGCTGCGTTCCCACTTCATGCCTCCAAACAGGTACGGCAGAATGTGATCAAAAATAGGCCGATGTTCAATAACAGTAGCACCGGATTGTTTCAGGTTGCCAGTGAGGCGACGTCGCCCGGTAATGTTTCCGCCGCAATCATAGAGCAGTTCGGTCGTGCATCCGCGCCGATGTGCAGCCTCCATCTTTTCTACTGTCACCTGACCGATATGGTCATCCTTGCAGATGTAAGTTTGCCAAAACACACTTTTTTTGGCTTCATCCACAGCCTTCCACATGACTCGAAAGGCCTCACCACTATCACGATAAGGAACCACGGTGTTACCAGTAGAAACACGCCCTAAAACCTCCAAGTTGCGCAGAATGCGATCCCACCGCACGTGAAATGGCAGTCCATTGCAATAAGCCCCTCGAGCACCACCCCCAAGTGCGGAATAAACACTCTTGAAACTGTCACAGGCTTCAGCTGGTTTGATGCCACCGCCGGCGTTAGTAATAGGTCCACTTGCGGCACTGCCTCCCTTCTCGCGCAAAGAGGAATGAAGTAGCCTCTCAAGGTTCAAGCGCTGGAAAGCAACACGAAATTTACCGCCGGGCCGTGACATCTCTACACGCAACTGGAAGCCCCTCCTCGATCCACGCACTTCACGCAGCGGCAAGCAAAAGCGCAACAACAGCAGAAAAGGAAAAAATAAGATAGCGAGAGAAGAAAGGGGGTAAAAAGAAAAAGAAAAAAAAGGAGCATGGTAAGAGAAGCA